CTAAGCCCTAAGCCCTAAACCCAAACACTCTCCACAGGAGAGTCTTGATGAGAGCGACGAAGCAGCGGCTCCTTACCTGCCTTTTTCGGGGCCTGAAGTAACAGTACTTGGAGGTTCATGGGTAGNNTCCTTTAAGGGATCTATGAGAGGGTTCTATACGGGCTCTATAAGGGGTCCTATAAGGGGTCTATAAGGGGTCATACTTGGAGGTTCATGGGTAGTTATAAGTGGGGTTATAAGTAGGGTAACGAAAACTATAAGCCCTATTAGGGGACTTATAACCCCACTTAAGACTACCCACGAACCTCCAAGCAAGTGAGAGTTTAGGGTTGAAGGTCGAGGGCTTAGGGTATATTATTCCATAGGCCTTCTTTACGGTTTCCTTTTCATAACATGAAGGAGAGCGCTAGGCCTTATTCGAACCATTGTGGCTTTCCGGATACGGAGCTTTGATCCGGCTGTTACTACATTCCTGAGCGAGTCGAGGGTTGCAGGGGCTCGGGGTTTGATAGTCCGGGATACGGGTTTATGAGTGTCCGGCTCGAAGACGCAGAGTCTCATGCTACAGGCTTTGAGGTCGCCGGGCTTTGCAGCTGAAAGTTGGATGCCAATCTCCCGCCCTGAGTTATCGTGTGGCATATCGCATACCTTTGCAGACAACAAGCACATCAGAACCTAGCATAACATACATCAGTGCAGTGTTAGGTGGTCTATGACAGTGCCAGTCTGTTCCATACACTGCGGAGTGGCATAAGACAGAGCCAGCGGCAGAACTGGCTCCTCTTGTCGTATACCATGACGTGAGCTTCTGCCTTCAGCTTTGTGCCTTGGGTACTTATATTATGGATCTATTCGGCCCTTATTAGTAGCCTTATTATAGACTGTTACTGTATGGCGGCAGTACCCAATTTGTGCCCTCCCTGATCATGTCATAGCGGCAACCAAGCCCCCACAAACTCCTCCAGCCCGAACCTCGGCCGTCCAGGCTCGGTGCAAGGCCATCCGCGAGGCCTGAGATGAAGTGGGAACTTGTAAGAACCCCTTGCTCTGCAATACCAAGGCTTGGTACATGGTCGAAAAAAGGCGCTTCCGTAGACTGCAAAATCATCGTAAGGTAAACCAAGATAACGCTGCGATTCGGCATCACTTGATGTGAGCCCGTGTAGCCGAACATGATGCGTTGCGGTTGGCATCTCTATGGCAAGGCCCCGACATGCATTGTAGAGTTGGATGCATGAACACATAACGGGTGGGCCTCGTGAGATCATGCATGTGATGCGATGCAATTTAGCACGGTATGGTGGTGTACGTGGCAACAGCACAGCACAGTTGTACAACCTCACAAAGCAATAGAGCACGGCCAAAGCTGGCAAACTTCCAACTTAGTTTTGTGATATCACGTCACATCAATACAGGATCCTAGAACCCTCATCATCTTTGCACAAACTAGAATGCATAGGCATAGAGCGTGTATATACCATACCATTGAACATAGAAAAACGAATAGAGAATACCATTAGAGAACATGAGGAGCAGACATGCACCGGAAACGACAAGACACGTGTTGCAAACGTAGTCGCTGCTATTGCTGCTTGGTGTTACTCTTACCACTGCTACTACGACGACGGCTACTACTGCTGCTGCTGCTACTGCTACTGCTACTGCTACTGCTACTGCTACTGCTACTGCTACTGCTACTGCTACTGCTACTGCTACTGCTACTGCTACTACTACTACTACTCCTCCTCCTCCTCCTCCTCCTCCTCCTGCTGCTGCTGCTGCTGCTGCTGCTGCTGCTGCTGCTGCTGCAAGCATCACCACCACACTAGCACTGGCACTAGCAGTGGTGCTGCTGCTGCCGCTGCTGAGACACGTAGCCTCAGCCTGCAAGGCCTTTGCAGACGAAGTGCACAAAGCAGTTCTGACGACGCCCTCCGCAGTGGTCGCCAGACATGTGGAGGACGCGATGAGGATAGCGGTTCCAGCTCAGGTCTCTAAGAGTTTTCGCCATGAATCCGTGGAAACAAAACCCTTAAGCCCCGCACCTTCCCTGTAGTACCTTACAGTACCCTTGTGGTACCCGTCAGAGCCCTTAAAGCACCCTTGTAATCGCCGTACAGGCTCGGGCCTTCAGCACCTGCTCTGCCCACATCCTTTCAGACCTTGAGCTGCGAGCTTTGGGAGTTGAGTTTCAGAGTTCAGGGTTTGGGTTCTGGGAGGGAGTGGAAGTCGGAATTGGCACCAGAGTGGTCCCTTTCTAATGCGAGATGTGACAAGCCAAAGCCACCCCCGGAACACCCAAACCCCAAATCCGAAAGCCTCGAAGCGCTTCACCACGGCGGCAGGCGTAATGTAGGGGCCGAAATGATTACCAGTACTATTTTGGGGGGTTCCTGGAACCCTACATGACGGAGTTGTGCTTCAGTTTAGGGCCCCCTCTGCACCTTGAACTCCTTGCCCCGAGTCCTGGAGCTAGTTGGGAGTTTCCGAGAATTAGGGTACCTTATTTTGGGGTCCTTTTACTAAGGATCCTACTATGTAGGGTACTATATAAGGGTCCCCTATTGTCGGAAACCCCCCAGTTGTGCGGTGAGGAATGCACTTCGGGTTTCAAGCAGCCGGTCCGTGTAGAAGTCCGTGGCACCGCAGGCCTCCGAATGCACTTTTGGTGATTTTGGGTGGTCAGGGCTTTCTTTAGGGCGTCGGTGTAGGCTTGATGTTGTAGGATTCGGGGAGGTTTCAGGCTTTTTGTGGGAATTTCGCTTGAGCTTCAGATCAACGCTGCCTTCTTTTGGGGCTCCCTCTCATTCCGAACCTCGGGGTTTCGTTTTTGGAGTTGCGCGCAGCCTCGAAACTCAGCAGTAAGTTTTAGTTGCTCGCGACATACGGGTAGGGAGTTTGTTCCGGGGCCGCCATGGAGGTTGTAGACCCTGTCCCGGGAGCCTGCAGAGATGACTTGACGCCGGCCTGGGTTCTGCATGCCACCCCGAGGATGCTGTCGCTCTAGGAAGTTGAGTCGATAGACTGTGACTCGAGTTTGGGGGCACAGCATAATCTCGTGTTATATAGCTGTATCGCCAGCTCGTTACACTTCCAGACGATGTGCCCGCCCAGGACACGCACACCCAGGATAGTTGGGTAAGAAGGCACCTATGCCCCAGCACTGCAAGTTTCACATGTCAGGGCGTGCCGTCACGGACCGGGCATTCACAGTAGGCGCCAGGGGCGAATGCGACGTCCAGGTGCCCCTTGGGCTTTCAGGCTTTTGGACCCTTTTGGGCGACTTGGGGCCTGTGTCGGGTTTTCAGCCTTGGGCAAAGCAGGGCTGCGGGGATTCGGCTTGATTCTGCTTGAGCCTACAGCGAATGACCAGCCTTTTCAGTTTTTCTCAGGCTTGAGATGCGTCATTAGAATTTAGAACCCCCGAAGCATCTCACAAGGTGCTTGGAGATCAGGGGGTGCTGCCCCTTCAGCCCTTTGGTTGCTGAAAGTGTCGGGGAAGTGGAGGATCCCTGGGGCTCGGGCTCGGGCTCAGGCCTGGGGTCGGGGGGCTTTGCAGTGTCGCAGGAGAACTATTATAAGATTTCAGGAGGCTTGGAGTGCGTCTGGGGCTTCAAAAGGCTGTACGTTGGCCGTTGCGTTCCCTCCTGTAAGCCAGAACGGTGCATGTCTTCTCCATGTTCGCTCGCTCGCCGGCTCCGGCTCCGGCTCCGGCTCCGGCTCCGGCTCCGGCTCCGGCTCCGGCTCGCTGGCTCCGG